CTCATCAATCAACATCCTGTCAACAAAATTCTTTCGTCTAGGTCCCCTGTAGTAGAGAATACCCCTACAGTAATATCCCCAGCTTAGTGTCTACATATCTGTTTATAACATGGTTAGGGTTGTCTAGGATGTACTGTACTCTGTGAGATATTTAGGCCTCACGGAGCTCGGCTGGTAGGTGACCGAGCGATGTCATAGGCCCCTGTCTCATCAACAGAACGTATTATATAAATGGGTCAATACATCTGATATTATATTCAGATTCACCACCCTGTAACTTTCCACTGTCTATGAGTAAGACATGAGATTGACACGTGAGCGGGCAACTTACCCAAGAGGGCGAGACCCATAGCTCAGCATATCTGTAAGCATGCACTGTGATGCCCCTAAGCTTCAGTAGCTCACGTCAACTCATATCGAAAGGACGTGACCAAACGTTTATCATACATAAACGCCGTCCCTTTCTCATTCACTCCTAGACAGTGAGACTTACGGTTGATATACACTCGGGAATTATATATACAACCTTTTATAATAAAACAAAGGAACTACCGTTTGGGTTTCGTTACTTAAAACCCAAATATAAATATGTGTGAACGGACTGGTTAATTGGACAAGCAGCCGATTCAGTTGGAGGGGTTGGAGGGGAGAGTCAGATTTTACGCAGATGGCGAAGTTTATGATCCACAGGAAGATGATTGGACTGGAATATCTTCTATGGTGATTCCACGGTATGATTTTGGATTATGCGCTCATGGAGGTTACCTCTATGCCTTCGGTGGTTGGACGGGATCGGTCATCGAAAAAAGTATTGAAAGATATGACCCTATTGCAGATGAGTGGAGATTATTAGAGTCAAATATGCCAGAAGCTAGATCCAAGTAAGTACAATAACAATTTTCAAATTGGATTTACTGACTGATAGTGTGAACTACTGTAATGAGAGAAAATGTAGCAGTGGCCTGTACCTTTTTTTTTTATTTTTTTATTTTTTTTTTATTTTTACAGAATGGGTATAGTAGAATATCAAGGTCTTATTTACATTGTTAGTGGATATATGGACTCTTACAACCCCTTTCATGATCTTCTCTCATACAATCCTGTAACTGGGTAGTGGAGAGAGCTAGCAGCACTGCGTGGTCTATCTCGCCACCACTACACGATGGGTGTTGCAGTTTTGAATAACTTTTTGTATTTAGTGGGTGGTATTCTTACTGAAGGGGAAAAATCAATGGAAAGATATTCTTTTGAACAGGTAATATTATTTACCAGTGCATGCTTATTATTATAATACAATACAATTTGAATTACAGTAGTGAAAAGGGAGTAAAAATTGTATAACTCCCTTCTTTTCTCCATACAATACAATTTGAATTACAAATATGGAAGAATTTTTGTACTGTAGTGAAAAAAGGGAGTAAATATTGTATAACCTCCCTTCTTTTCCTTTCCACAGAACAAATGTTTAAGTGTTCATCAATGAATTTTGGTCGAAGTATCCCAGCAGTTGTTGCCACAAATTCTCTGTTATATGTCATAGGCGGTAACCGTAAAAATTAACTCCTTGAACTGGTAAGAAAGGAAGAATGGAAATGGAAGAATGAAATGAATGAATTATATTACAATCCAAAGTTTTAACCTCTAACTTTTTTTTGTTTTTTTTTAGGTATCTGTCGCTAATGTGGAGTATTTCGACCCTAAGAATAATGAGTGGATGAACTGTACATCACTCCCCGAGGGTCGGTCTAATGCTAGAGCAGTCTTAATTTGACTCCCTTCGACATCCCCAATCAAGAAACCTTCCTTCAAGACTGACATTGTCTCCACATTTAATCCATTTAAAATAAAAAAGCTTGCTTCCTATCTTTTTAACTTACCTAACATGAAATTTGAAAGTATCCTTATGGATCACTTATGGATCAATGGTACCATTGTTTAATTTTGCATTTTGCTGAATAAAGAGCTGACCCAGGCTGCCTAACCGGCCAGGATGAGTATGTGTAAACAAACCCAATGGTACAAGCTTCTTACCAAAAAAAAAAAAAAATAAGAGTCAATGGTACCATTGTTTAATTTTGTTGAGTTGATCAAACAGAGCTAAATATTATTACTTTTTTGTCGGATGCTCAGAAATGATGGGGAGGGAGTAGTGTAACCCAATTGTACAAATAATTTTTTATTTTTATTTTTTTTATTTTTACAAAATAAAATCCACATTACAGTCTGCCGAAAGAGTACATGTAATCCATCTTTTTCTTCCTCCTTGGGTTCTAGGCGATAGATATACTTCGGACGGTTCCTCCTCTTCTCACACTACTCCCCTTCCTCCTCTTCTTCTTTCACTACATCAGGAAAATCTACATCATCCTTCTCCTCCTCTTCCTCTTTAAGTTCTAATTTAATCTCTTTAGGTTGTAGCCTATTTACTTAGAACAGAGATAGATCATCGAACTCGCATTTGTCCCATTCCTCCTCTTCTTTCACTACATCAGGAAAATCTACATCGAAAACTAATTTATCCTCCTCCAATACTCCATCATCAGGTAGCTTACAATTATCGTCTTCGTCGTTGTAATCCTCCTCCTTGTTGGTATTCTTCTTCTCGTCGTCCTCATCCTCTGGTGGTGGTGGTGGTGGTGGTGGTGGGGATATGTGTTTTTTTCTGTGTTTAACCAGGCTATTCGGCCAATAATATTTTTTAGTACAGAATTCACATTCAAAAGATTTATTTGAGCTGTGACGCAACTGGTGATAGCGAAGGCTTCTTGTACTACTTAAAATCTTGCCACATACGTTACAGCGAAACTTGCGTGTGGATATAATGTGTTCTTTTTTATGGCGAATCAAGCCATTCCGCCAATAAAATTTCTTGGGACACAACTCACATTTAAAAATTTTCTTTGAGCTGCTGTGACGCAACTGGTGATAGCGAAGGTTGCTTGTATTACTTAAAATCTTGCCACATACGTTACAGCGAAACTTTGCTTCTTTTTCTTGTGTGTGTGTTTTTCTGTGTTTATTGAGGGTAGTCCGCTCGTAATGGTTGCGATTCAGGGCTTGTTCGAGAAACTTGCTTTTCTTGTCGTTGTCGAGATAAATCTTCTGCAGTAACCTCGATCTCGTCAATTCGTCCATAATATTAGCAAATTGATAACAGCAGCAGCGGCGGCGGGAAGAGAAAGAAGGCAAAGGCAGGTAGACTTTTTTTTACCAGCCAGAAGGTACCGTGGTAGTTTATATTTGTGTTTGTTTTTGTTAACAACCATCAACACAGAAGCCGGGCCCAGGCTACCGACCGATACCCTCGAGAGCGAAGTACAGACTAAGTAGAGGACGGAAACACCAACACCAACACACTGCATACGAGGGAGGTTAACTGGCAATTTGGGCATTCTAGTTGCCTCACTTAACTTACCAAGGATAAAGACTAGTCTATTAAAAAATGTGTGTGTGTGTGTGAAGACTTTTATTCATATGAATAATGAATGTACCCCTTTTCTTCTCCTTGGGTTCGAGGCGATTTTCTTCGGACAGGGGAACATCGAACTCGTATTCGTCCCATTCCTTCTCCTCTTCCACTACATCAGGAAAATATACCTCTTCCTCCTCCTTTTTCGGTTGTAATTTAATCTCTTTAGGTTGTACATCATCGAAAACTAATTTATCCTCCTCCTTCTCCTTCTTCATTGGTTGTGGTTTACTCTCAGGCAAGTCTACTCTATCATCAGGTAGCTTACAATTGTCGTCGTTGTTATCCTCCTCCTCGTTGGCAATACTCTTCTTCTCTGGTGGTGGTGGTGGTGAAATGTGTGTTTTTTTATGCCGAACCAGGCTACTTAGCCAATAATATTTCTCGTTACATAGCTCACATTTAAAAGTTTTTTCTCCGCTATGACGCAAATGGTGATAGCGAAGGCTTCTTGTACTACTTAAAATCTTGCCACATACGTTACAGCGAAACTTGCGTGTGGATATAATGTGTTCTCTTTTGTGGCGAACCAAGCCATTCTGCCAATAAAATTTCTTGTCGCAGAACTCACATTCAAAAGTTTTCTTTGAGCCGCTGTACTGGTGGTGATAACTCAACTGGTGATAGCGAAGACTTCCCGTACTACCTAAAATCTTACCACATACGTTACAGCAAAACTTTGCTTCCTGTGTGTGTGTTTTTCTATGGTTTTTCAGGGCAGACGGTCCATAGTATCTCTTCTCACAAAACTTACATTTAAAAGTTTTCTCTACGTTGTGGGTCAACCGATGTGCGCGAAGGCTGGTTTCATTACATAAAATCCTGCCACATATGTAACAACGAAATTTTGCCACCTCCTGTTTGTGTGTTTTTTTCTTTGGTTGTGATTCAGGGCTGGAACTGGACATGTTGAGTCTTTTTTGTCGTTAATCTTCTGCAGTAACCTCGTCAATCTCGTCGATCTCGTCAAACTAGCCAGTGGGTATTTGCCCAGGTTACCGATACCCTCGAGGCGAAGTACAGGCACAGACTAAGTAGATTCTGCCTAGACCTTTTTTAAAGACGGACGGAGTATAAATTCACTATGGCGCAACGTTGTAGGTAGCAGTAACATTGTAGTAGACGCATAGAAGGTGATAGACAGCCCCTCAGATAGCTCTCATAACGAAAACTGGATATTAATTCCAATATAGCAGTACAGTACAAGAGTTAACAGACGGTCCTCAGGCAGCATCTGTTAAAATTATTATATACACACTGCATACGAGGGAAATTAACTGGCAACTTGAGCAACTTGAGCATTCCAATTACCACGCTTAACTTACCAAGGATAAAGAATAGTCTATTTCTTATTTTAAAAGTATTTTAATTTTAATTTTAATATTTGACGGACGACAATATACAGTCAGCAGCCTAACTTCAGACTCCAAAGCCATTAAAACCATTCTTTGCCAACCAAATCATAACTTCTATTTTTTTCATTTTTTATATTTTCTATTTCTTCTTTTGATTCTCCTTCTCCTCCTCTTCATAATTATCTTCTTCCTCCTCCTCTTCTTCCTCCTCCTCTTCTTCCTCTTCGTAATTATCTTCTATTTTCTTCTCTGCAGCATCTATCTCCTTCCCTTCATTATTCTCCTTCCTCTCATCTATCTCCATCTTCGTTGTTGTCGTCTTCAATTTCTATTTCTTCACGGAAAAAACCACCACAAACACTATTCAGTTCTGAAAATTGGCTCTACCAAAACAAAATAGGAGGACGGAAAGCATCAGCACCACCACACAACAAAAATTTTTTTTTAAAATTATTGGGGGATAGTTTGATCCAAACCATCAGCACCTCGTTCTTAATAAGACCTTCTTGGCTAGGGGAAATTAACGACTGCTGTCGAAGATGCAATAAAAAAAGTATTTTTTTTACATTTTACAAAGGCAGCTTATTATTATCCCTCCTCCCTTCCTTACCCAGTGCAATGCGACAAGCCAGCCACAAAATAATAGTTGTATTTTGTTATTAAAAGTTAGTATATGGGTACATTTTTATGGGTACATTTTTATTGTTTTTTCATAGTTTATACTGTTACCAGTACTTTTATACATTTCTGTTAGTGATTAAATAGTAAATAAAAAATATAGTATAGATTCCATTCCTCCTTTCATCAGGAAACCCTCGATTTTAGGCGATTTACATTATAACTCGCGTTTTCATACTCAAATTTTTAAAAACACGTTGTTGGGGTTGTGTGGAGGAGAAGTTCAGAATAAATGACTGCTGCCAAATATGGTGGGTGTCTTGTACTTCCTCTTCCTCTTTGAGTTGAGTTGTAGCAGATTTAATTCAGACAGGGGTACATCATCGAACTCGTATTCCTCCTCCACATCAAGATTATCTATTTCTCCTTAAGTTTATGTTGTAGTTTAATTTCATCTTCCTCCTTCTCCTCTTCCTGTTGTGGTTTACCCTCACTCCTCGTTGGCATTCTCCTTGCGTCCTCGTCCTCTGGTAATGGTGGTTGGGATATGTATGTTCTAGTGCAACCCAGGCTGTGTCGATCCAGGTTATTCTGCCAATAAAAATTAGCGTTTACATCTAAATAACCCATTGTGACGCAACTAGTGATGAAGGTTGCTTGTATTACTTAAAATCTTCGCCGCCACATACGTTACAACTGTTACCAGAGGACACAAGGAGCTGACTGCTACTGGCTGTAGAGAAAGGATCTTTAAGTAGTACAAAGCAGCCTTCGCTATCATCAGTTGCATCATAGCTCAAAAGAAATCTTTTACCAATGTAATATTTCTATATTATTGGGCGGGCTAGAAAAATATTAGGGTAGTAATAAAAAAAAAAAAAAAAAAAAATCACGAGTCAGGCTAGTCCGCCAAAGAAACACAAATACTCGAACTGGCTTTTTTTTTCTTTTTTTTTTTTCTTTTCTTTGTTGTGTAGCTCTTTCATAGGGTAGCAGTAACATTGTAGTGGACGTTGCCACGCTTAACTTACCAAGGATAAAGAATAGTCTATTTCTTATTTTAAGGAAGTGTTTTAATTTTAATATACAGTCTTATCTTCTCCCTCCTTGTTAATAGTTATGTTATACCGCCTCTATAGTAGAATGGAGGAATATGCCGGTCCAATATAACTTTTTTTTTTTCTTTACTTCTTCAATAATAATTCTCCTTCTCCCCCTCTTTATAAGTATCTTCTTCCTCCTTCTCCTCCTCTTCATAATTATCTTACTATTTTCATCTCTGCATCTATCTCCTTCCCTTCTTCATTATTCTCCTTCCCTTCATAATTATCTTCTATTTTCATCTCTTCGTTGTTGTCTTCTTCAATTTCTATTTTTCTCTCGAAGCCGAAGCAGAAGCAGATGAGAAATTTAGTTTAGTAGCAGGAAAAACACTACTACAAACACTCCTCCTATTAGTTTTCTGTTTAGATTTCTCAATAATAGCTTTCTCGGCATTCTGCATTGTTATTGTTGAGAGAGAGAGCATTAGCTGAGGGTGTTGCACTCAGGCTTATTTGTTAAACCACTCCTAATATATACGCTCTAAAGTGATGAGTCATATCCTGTATCTATCAGCTACTGAAGGAAGTTACTAAAATGTGTTTTTTAAATAGTTATTATTTATAAATTTTAGGATTCTTTTCTTAAAAGAATTAAAACTTAACCTATAAATGATCTTGTGTTGTTGGTGGCGGTTGTTGTTGTTGTTGTTGTGGTTGTTGTTGTTGTTGTGGTTGTTGTTGTGGTTGTTGTTGTGTTGCGGTTGCGGTTGTTGGTGTGGTGGTGGTTGTGGATACATCATATCATTATAATACAGATAGGGATGACATTGAAAATTAGATGAAGATGATGAACTATGAGGATAAGGTATAGGAGGAAGGAAAGGTGGTGGTGGTGGTGGTGGGGGGGGAGGAGGATACTGATACAATGATTGGGCTGTAGTCATAAATGGTTGTGGTTGCGAAGTTTGTAATGGTGGTTGAGGTTGATTGTTATTTTGTAAAGTGTACCAGCGATAATATGACAAATAGTTATTATTTTCATCTAGTGTTTTTCTTTGTATATTGAATAAATTACGAAATCCATCATCAAGAGTATCTTGGAGTTTATTATTTTTATCAGTACTTTCCTGACACTTTTTTTTCGTCTGACTCGTCATTATAATTTTTAATATAGTCTTGTATAATTTTTTTTAATTTGGGTATCTTTTATATCCTCAGTTAAATCCATAGTTGGACGTAAAGGAAATCGCGGCAAACTTTTAATTAAATCTGCTAACTGTTTTATAACAAGACTCAAGTTATCTAAATTTATAGTGTTTAAATTATCAACATCAATTTGGGGTAATCTTATGGGAGGTTCTATAACGTTAGTATAAAAATCTTCTAAATTTATCGGATTTATTGTTTGTTCCTCTCCTATTTTTTGAAAATGAAAAACTTGATCCATTTTTATAATGTATTTTTTTTTTAAGGAAAAACTGCCAACGCCGAGATTTAATGTGCAAAGTCCCAAATTCTGTTGAAAGTGTTATATATACACCATTTGTGAGTGACGCACCACCTACTTTTTTCGAAAAAAATTTGCTATTTAGACATACTTTTCTATTGATTTAGCGAAAAAGAAAAGAATAAGGTTGAATAATGTAAAAAAAGGTTTTAACACCATAATCCAATATATTACATATCCATTCATAAACAATTTTTGGTTTTTTATGTTAAACACCCATAATATTGCCGATTAATACTTAATTGTGCAAACTTTATTAAAATGGTCATCCATGTTGCGTTTTTGTGTTAAATGGCAATTTGGCTGCCGACTAAGCCTTAGTGGGTAGTTTTCACTATATAACACGCGGACTTTGAACATATAATCAACGACCTCACCAGCAAGGAATCGAACCCTCGACCTACTGGGTGTGACTAGGGAACGCTTACCGGCTAGGCCACAAGGACACTAAAAGCAGTTCTAGACTCGGTTATATTTCACACAAAGCCTGTTCATCGAGCTGATGGCGCCGTGAACCTCATTGGGAAACTGCCCGTGCCTCTTATGTGGTGTCGCGTGTTATATGGACTAAAAATGAAGTATATATATGTACCTCGCGTTTCATACCAGCTGGATTCGGTAAAATGCTACTGACACCACATAAGAGGCACGGGAGAAAATAAGAGAAAGTTGAAAACCCGAAGTTTAGGTAAACATTTGCAAATTTTTACATTAAGACTTACTTACAAATCAAAGGCTACGTGAACACCTGGCCAGTCGAGCTACAGTTCAGGTGATGCCAAGGACTGCGGTGGTCGAACCTCCTTCCAGATATTATGGTTATAAGCATCTTGTGTGCACTTAAGTTAACGTCCTACATTCATGGACACCTAGATATTCCTCTCTACTACTTTTAACTTAAATTTCATCGTTTACATTTTCTGGCTCGAGAGTTCCTTAGGGTCAATTTAAAGAGACTTCCCTCGGGTCTGGCAGATGACCACTATATCCTATCAAGTTGTAATAGGAAGATGCCTAGGCTCCTGCGAACCAATTCCTACCATGCTCGTAGCGGCACATTGGGCACAGCTGCTTTTGTTGACAGAACAGCACCATCAGACCGAGGGGGAACAAGAAGATGGCGGCAAAGATACCGAGTCTTGTGAACACCCAGCGGAGGTTACCACGCTGTGGAGGACACCAGCCATGAACACTTTTTCCCATCCATGGAGTTACTATATAAAATATAGCAATTAATATATAACTTAAGAGTTATCAGAGAAGCTTGGAAAAATAATTAACATTTAGTTGCATTCAAAAGTTCAAGCTGCCATTAAGATTCAATATTATATCTCAACTTTCAAAGGCTTTGGCAAATAAAGTAATGCAAGCTAGCTTAGTAATGGCCAAAATAGAATCCGTAAAGTTTTTTTTTAATAAACTTTAAATTCAGAATCTAAATATTTATTTGTAATGAAGTATATATTGCCAGCATTATTTAACCTGTCCTCGTCCTCCTTCCTCAATGCAACCACGTTGCCTCAGTAACAAGGACCGACGTACCAACCCTTTTAGACAAATTTCAGGCTAACCCTCAGAGCAGTATTGAATAAAGAGACTTGACACTCAAAGCCAAGATTAAATTTTGTACAACAAAATTTCTCCACACGATTAAGAACTTTTCTGCGTTAGTTTCTTCCACTACTAGAACATAAATTTCTAAAAAATGGAGCCAGGTTTCTCACCCTGCAATTAGGACAATTCCCCCGCTGCTTTTGCCGCTGTTGCTGGCGACAAGCGAAGTGGGTGATGGGGCCTCCCACACACCTAGTGTGACCTAACAATGGCTGCACCGTCACATTGACAATCCTTCGAGATATCACTGCAGAAAATAGAGAGTAAGAGTTTACTCTAAATTAGGGGTTATAAGTCGAAATTATACTGTATCACATTTAAGAAATTCCGAAACGTGAAAAGTTCAGGAAGGTATGTTGAATGAATAAGTCGCTTGAATTAACAAAATTCAAGGCTTCTGTTTACGTCAATATTTAACATTCAAGTGAAATGTTACATTACAAGTCAGTTTATGCCTTTAAAGTGGATATTAAGCTTCGACTTACCGCACAGTCGCCCCGAGGTCCTGCGATCAGCACTTCCGGACGCCATGCGACTAGCCACAACTGGAATACCAAGTTAACTTTAGAAAACTTTGGTGAACAGTGTTATTCTAACTGACATTATGCGCTTAAAGCCCTAGTTGAAGTGCATTAATACATTATAACATTTGTGTTTTTTATCTAGTTTATGAATTGACATGAAGTACAATACGTGCTTTAAAAGACCTGTACTCGGCAGCGATTTTTAATGGTAGTTTGTGAACCTTTGGCGTAGAACCTAAGGAATAATATTTTGTTGAAATAAATAAATAATTAGAATAGTAACAAGTCCACCCACCGCCAGTCAACAAAAATAAACAAATCTTAAACCATGAACCTTCATGCCCAAAACTACAAAATAAGTTTATACCAATCTTTGAGAACTGCTAAAACTTTAATAACGAAGGATTTTAATGTTATTTTCAGGTTGGTTTGGTTTCATTATGTAGCGTAAAATAATCGCCGACTAGAATTTAAACAATAAATCACCATAAGATAAGACACCCCAGCTTATTTCACGAGCTAAATCACCCTTATGCTAACCTAACCTAAATCCCCATGGTAGTGTTAGGACAACCGGTGTGTTTAATCGCGTGAAATAAACAGGGGTACCAAATCTTCAGGTGATCTAACAGAATTGGGTAATCTTTATGGAAAAAACAATCCCTAGTATAGATTTTGTTTCCTTACTAAGCCGGAAGAGCTATAGTACACTAATTAAAACTATCACATTAAGATTATCCTCTCCAGCTTATTTCACGAACACCCTAACACGATCTAGAAGAGTTAGGTTAGATTACTGCTCAGGTGACTATCTCCTGAATTACACTGTGGTGCCTAATCATCAAGTGATCCAATTGTAATAACCGGAGATTCAGGAAAAAATTAAATAATTCCGTAGTTGGCGTGCATGGAAAGGACTATGGAAAATAGGTTTTAATAGCGTATTTCCTGGAGTTTCAAACGAATTTTACCTTCATTTCCGTTGGGAATGCGTCATAAGAGATAACCCCCCCCCCCACCCTCCCAATTACCAACAATTAAGTGGGCATAGCTTTTAGGTAGTACAAACATAACGAAATCGAACTAGAGGATCAGAAGGACCTTAGCAGATGGAGGAGGAGCTTGACGTTAGAAACAGCCTGAATTACACCTTGGACACCAACTGAACCTACGAAGAACACCAGGAGACATAAAGAATGTCGATGGCTGCGGCGTCGCTCTTCAAAAACGATTTAAATTACAGTGGAATTATTACACGCCATTCTCCCAACAAGTAAACTTCACAGAGTGACGCCATCTTGCAACTAGGCAGTTCAAATTCCACATCTTGTTCATGCTCACGAGTATCTCGTGACTTCCAAACTACCACGGATTGGCCGAGTAAGAAGTAAACAATGTATTTCCTCGCGATCTTGTACTTTGTTTGAAGTAAAATAGAAGTTAAAATAACTTTAAAACAAAAAATTTCCGATGATAACGCAACAGACACGAGTAAAGTCCTACTTTTTTCCTTTGGCTCTATATCCATGTACAAGAATTCATATCGTGTCCTGTGTATGGCAACTACAGAATATTAACGAAAATGTTTGTCATAAACTACTTTAATTTAAAAACTCTCAGATTAAACTGAAATTACACAATCACTTCCAACTTACCTTGCTGTACTCTGATCATAGCTACAAATAAGCTTCGAGAAGCATCTCTGCGTCAGAAAAGAGAAGTTGTATCTACACCGCAAATAGAGCGTGTGTGGATAGTGCACTGCAGGCGTCCTCGCCAGGGCTACTGTTTATCCGTACCTTGCTTTTCCGTATGTCCTGATTGGTTACCTTCATGCACTGTGATTGGTTACCGTTTGACGTCACACAACCATTTTCTTTTTGTCAATACAGAAAATGTAATACCATACACAGTAAACTAATAAAAAATTACAGTTTACTTTAGTATTAATTTCTCTTATAGTTTAAGATAGAAATGATTAATGTATATTTCTTAAGTGCGAAACTGTCATATATATTAGGGTGTGTCATTCGGAGGCGAATTTTTTTTTTTTTTTAGTTTGAAAAATCGGCCCATGGTATTAATGATGTAGTTCTATGTGCAGAATCATATGATATCTTCAGATTTGAACAGTTTTCATTTTTTGCTAGGTAAATTTTAACTTGAAATCTTATGAAAATTCAGTATTCCCACCCTTTTACCAACACCACTAAATAGCTTATTTAAAGTAAAGTAAATGTATCAGGTTAATTTATTAGGATGAAAATGATCCAGAATAGTGAAACGAATGATCTTGACACATTTATTAAATTTAATATTCCTTTATAAAACAAAATCATCAAATACGAAAACCGGTTTTGCTACTACGACCCGGTGTTGCTGCACACCATAGAGAACATGTCTTTCTTGCTTCTGTTTCTACTCATCACCTCCCTGCTGACCACCTGAGCTCGGATGTAGCCTTCCCTCCTCTCCTGGCTGTACACATGACTGCTGGCCTCGCTCACTTGCTGTACACCACGCTCTATACTCTGGGTGTGCGAGGGCCAGGCAGGGACATGCATGGGGTTGTCCAGGAAAGTTCT